AAAAAAAAAAAAAAGAATGTATGCAATGTGTTAATTATTGAAACTGTCCTACCAATTTGGTTTGAAACTGTCTCATTGCTATTTGTTTCTCAACAAAATTATGGAAAAAAAAAAAAAAAGAAAGTAGAATGTAGCTGGGACTGTACTGATCATGGTTAACAGGAGCAGTAAGAGATAAATGGTGTGCAGGGACAAGAGTTCTGAATGGTCACGCAGCAGAAAAACCTTAGAAAAGGATCAGGATTCAATATGAGCATGAATCTTGCATCTCACAATGACGTTTATTATATATCACAAACATAAAATTTTTCAAAAACATCTTTAATAGGCTCATCAAAAAAAATTTCATAGGACCAGGAGATGGTTCAGTAGAATAAGTGCTTCCCTGGCAAGCACAGGGCCTGAGTTCAATCCCCGGTTCTGGGGAAAAAAAAAAAAAAAACACATCAAGATAGGTGTGGTAGTGCACACCTGTAATCCCGGCATTTGGAAAGCTGAGGCATGAGGATCTCTCCTGAGGCCAGCTGGTACTACACAGGCAGAACCTGTGTCAAAAAAAAAAAAAAAAAAGAAAGAAAAAAAAAAAAAAAAATCAAAAATCCAAAATCCAAATAATAAATAAGTAAATAAAGCAAAGTCCTGTGTCAAAAAACCCCAAAATTTATATCAAAGCCTAATACACCAAAGGGACAAAATGCTGCTCCCACTGGTTCCTTCACCCCGGATGCTCCTACACTGACTCCTATGAGCAGAATTCGAAGTCCACTAACTTTCAGGTTCAAGAGTCTCAGTCAAAACTTTATAGTTTTTTCCTTCTAAAAGCCATCTAAGATAATGCACTAGGAGGGGCCGGGGAAATGACTCAGTGGAATAAGTGCTTCCCTGGCAAGCGCAAGGGCCTGAGTTCAATCCCTGGTTCCACCAAAAAAAAAAAAATTGAGATAATGCACTAGAGCTTTTCTATGATTTCCTAAGGCCAAGGGAGCACCTTGATATGGACTTACAAACTGGTGGTTTGCCCTCAGTGTTTGAAGCAAGAGCCAGGAAGGAAGGCTTGACAGAGTAAACAACAGCGACAGGGTTCATACACACAAATTCTTGATGCTGCATATTCACCTAGAACAAGGAGGCTGAAGAAAATGGTCATGCCACTGGACTGCTCCTCCTGCTGAGCCTGCTCCCCTGTCTGCACAGGGAGGATGGGCTTGGCAGGGGTCGGGAGCACGAGTTTCGTCGTGACAACCAAGGTGGTGTGGAGGGTGGCATTGAAACTCTCATGACTTGTATTGGAAAACCTGTTGGAAGATAAAAAAAGCTGAATTAGATTAAAGGAAAAAAGGCTCTAAGTATCAATGTGCACACCACAAACTGGACGGAGAACTGGGGAGAGTATTTTATGTGAGCTGCAGGTTTGGCAGAAGAGTTGAAGGAAACCTCAGCTTGCACAGCAGGACAGTAGCAAGCTCTCAGGTGCGTTTCAAGCCACCCACAGGGCAGGAACGAGGAAAGTAGGGCTAGCATAGAAATGCTGCCCGCTCTCCAACACTCGATGAGGGGCCAGCTGGAGTCTCACCGTATCCCAAGGCCCAACACTCTCCATTGGTGCCTTTACTTCCCCACTTCCCGTTTCTCTCAGGTTATTTCTGCAAGGTGAAAAAGCCACTTGAACTTGCCCAGCTGTTGATCTGGTCAGAATTTCCCACCCCACCTTAAGAAATTCTTCTCAGATTTCCCAACAAGGCTCAAGTTACCTGCTCCCTAACACCCCACTCCACCCCAATTTCCCACCTCACCTCACAGCTTCCTGCCCACACTCTTCCTCCACTGTGGTGTGGCTGTGAATTAATGCAAACTAATATCATGATAATAGTGATTATGTGAATTGTTATTTATGGAGCCCAGCATCATTCCAGGAAATAGGTAACACAACACTTGTTGGCCAACATCTCCATCAATGGGAGAATCAAGCTTTCCAACTTAGATCACGGGGCAACACCACCTCTTCTCTTTCGTGCATGTGAAGCCTAGTGCAGTATCTAGAACACAGCAGCAGCTCAACGAATTAATCAACCCACCCACTTGACCAGAGACATCTGAAACGTCAGGTGGAGGGGGCCAGTATCAATCAAGGGATTCCTTGTTAATCTTCAATTAGGCCATAGACAGGCCATCTAAGTAACAGAAGGCTGATGATGGCCATCTTCAGGAATGCGGATGGGCTATCAGTGGTCTAGAGAAGATAAGACCCTCCCTCCAGCTCATCATATGCAGCTAATCCCCTGTCTACACTGCAACCATTTTGTTTTTCTGTTACTCCAAAGTACTGGGCCGGGGAGATGGCTCAGTGGAATAAGTGCTTCCCTGGCAAGCACAAAGGCCTCAGTTCAATCCCCGGTTCCGCAAAAAAGAAAAGAAAGAAAGGAAAAAAAAAAAAGTACTAAACTATCTCTTGATTGCAGCGTTTTGGATGTAATATCACTTATCCCTCCTACCCCTCATGTCACTGAACTCAGACATCTCTCCTTACAGGCTCCCCTACTCCTACACCGTTCTACAGTATTGCCTTCGGAGCGCTTAACAGGATTCGAAACCACTTTGCCTGGTCATTTGTGCTCTTTTTCCACTAGAGCGGAAGGTCCTTGAAGGCAGCTCCTGATCTGCCTCCTGTGCTATGTGCCCAGGGCCTGGAATTACATAGACAACCAAATTAATGAATGGATGAAACAGCGGATGACACAGCTGCGACCACTAGGTGCTACACAGAAGACCGGCTCAGGAGGGGACAGGGTCGGGGATGGGGATGGACTTCCTGGAGGGGGCAGAGAATTTACGAGTCTTCAGATAATCGGAAACTGAAAAAGTGAAACACGGCTCGCGGTTTCGGCGAGAACTCCCGGTCTCCGCCGGGTGGCGGATCCCCAGCCAGAGGGTCCGGCCTGAAGAAGGCTCCAGGGCCCGAGCGCGCCCAGACCCCTCCCGCCCTCCTCGTAGGCTCCAGCACGGTCCACGTGGCCAACTGCCACAAGGAGCTCCGCCTTCCAGAGCCGGGAACCCGCCGTCACCCGCCGGGGCCCAGCCCTGCCGCCTCCGCAGCCCCAGAAAAACCCACTCACTCTCCCTTCATCTTCTCCCCAATCCGGCGTAGCCTCCAGGACCACCGAGTTCCAGACCGTGGGGGTAGCACGGCCCACGTCGCTTCCGGCTTCCGCTGGAGGAGCACGCGGGCCGGCGAGTGGGGGCGGGGCCTCGTCGAAACCGGGACGACCCTCTGTCCCGTCGTCTCAGTGTCCCAAGGGTGGGCGGAGCTGCGTGGGCGGGCACTTCCGGGGCGCTCTGGGCGAATGTCCCGGGTAGGCGTGCTTACCCGTACTGCTAGGGTCTAACTCTCCGTCGCTAGCTGAGGGTGATTTCGGGTAAACCGTGAGGTTATTGTGACTCACCCCGAGAGCTAGTTCCCTCCACCCAATGCTCTGGAATTCCCACTGCTAAAAGGGGGCGGCTCAGTTTGAAGCCTCGTCTGTGCAAGGGATCTAGGCTGGGCATTTTGCAATCCTAGCCCCAGTTTCCCTCTGCTAGTGAGAGAATAACCACGTGGCCCTCACGATTGTTCAGCATTCCGTCTGCAAACATTTATGACTATCTGACATTAAAATAGGTGCTGAGAGGCGGGTGTGCTGGTGCATGCCTGTTATCCCAGCATTCAAAGCTGAGGCAGGAGGATCAGTGAGCCTTCCAGACCCACCTGGGCTACATAGCAGGAACAAAGGTGCTGACAATGGAGGATTGGATCATTCATTGACTCGTTCATGGACTGGATTCAATAAAGCTTTTATTTGCAGTTCTAGGGAGTTACCCCAGTGCCTGAGCGACTGCAGGGCCTGATACAACAAATTCTTTCTTTTTTGTGTCAAGGGTGGTCCAGAGAAATTGAACTCATGCTTAACACAGAGCTGCATCCCCAGCCCATGTTTTTGTTTTCAGACATGGTCACCCTGAGTTGCTAGATTGTCTAGACTAGCCTCAAATTTGTGATCCTTCTTCGGCCTCAGCCTCTCTGGGGGCTGGAATTACAGGCGCGCCCACCACTTAGCATCCACAAATTCTTAATAGATTTCTGCTTTGTGCTTAGCAATGCCGTGGGGTTAGGGCAATAGGAAGGTACAAGGTGAGGTTGTGAGAGTAGGTCGGACCCCATCAGGAGGCCTTTGATTGGCCCCTGCTGCCTCCTGTCTGTCCAGGCCACAGGATCTCATCTGGGTAATCACAGGAGCCCTCTAAATGTTCTCTTTGGTCTTCCACACATGGACCTAAAGATTGTTGTCTGTTTTGTTTTCCATTTCATCTTCAGGGCCTAAGACAGTACCAGGCACATAGATGCTCAACTCTTTTTTTGTTCGTTTGCTTTGTTTGGGGGAGGGTGTGCTTTTTTTGGCAGAACCGAGGATTGAACTCAGGCCCTTGCACTTGCCAGGGAAGCGCTTATTCTACTGAGCCATCTCCCTGGGCCCTAGATGCTCAACTGTTGAAAAATAAGTAACTTAGTTCATTCTGGTAATGTCAGAAAGCCACAGAAGGGTTTTGTTCTGAGAAGATGGGGACCTTGGCTGCTTGAGGAGAGATGAGTGGGCTAGTGGCTGGGATTTTAGGCCAGAAGCCTTAAAGTTACCCAGGAGGCTTCAGGATAACTTAGGTGCAAGAGGATGGCAGTTTGGATGAAAGTGATGTGGCGGGGGGCACAGATGTAGGGCAGAACTTGCTGATGGGCTGTTCCAGAGGAAAGAGGGTAAAGTCAGGGTTTCGGTATTGAGGAACTGGGCTGAGATCTGTTTGACTGAAACTGAGTTCTCCACCTCCTAAGATCTCTTAGGACCATTCTCAAAACTAACTGAGGGAGTGCGGTTAGGATCCTCCAGTGTTTCCTGAGTCCTTCCTGCAGGTGTGGTACTGAGCTATTGTTTCTTTCATTCCTAACATAATTTTGCATGTGAAAGAATCATACTCCCTGCTTGGAAGCCCAGGGAAGCCAAGCCTCCTTCTTGGAGTCACAAGGCAAGCAAGTGCTGAAGCTGGGGTTTAGGAGCAAAGTTTGATCTTAACACGTTGCCCAGTGATTTGGAGTTGTCCGTTTCCCTGGCGCTGAAATGGACCAAACAGCCTGCTTCCATCACTTTGCCCAGAGCTTGGGGGAGGTGTGGGGATTGGGGAGATGAGGCACATGGAGGTTTGAGGCTGCCACTCTTTCTCTGGCCCTAGAACCCCATGGAGAACTGAGACAGAGCCCAAGAGAGCTCTTCTCCAACTCATGGTGGCGCATGTCTGTAATCCCAGCACATGGGAGGCTGAGGCAGGAAGATTACTGTGAGTTCAAGGCCAGCCTGGGCTACATAGTTCAAGACCAGAGTGAGATCCTGTCTCAAAATGCAAAGCAGGAAAAAAAAAAAAAGCAAAGCAGGCTGGGGAGATAACTCAAAGGGCCTACCTGGCAAGTGCAAGGATCTGCATTCAATCCCTAGTATCACATGCAGTGCCAAGCCAGCCACTGAAACTTGAGTGTGGTGGCACATGCCTGTAATCTCAGTACTGGGAAGGCGGAGAAAGGAGGATCACTACAAGTCCAAACTCTGTACAAGACCCTGTATCCAAAAAAAAAAAAAAAAAAAAAAAAAAAAAAAAAAAAGGCAAGGCAGAACCAAACCAAACAAACTACACCATCTGGCTGAAGATGCTGAAAATGCCCCTCTTGCAGCTCAGTGACCTCTCCACAGCACCTGCAGGCACAGCAGGGTCAGGGCTTTGTGCCAGCCGTTCTGAGGGAGAGGCAAACAGCCTCGGCCCCCTCTGGGCCTGCTGCCAACCCTGAGGCTGCAAAGCACCTGCTCTTCATACCTGTTCCTGTGAATGGATCTAAGATCTCGGGTCATTGCCCCAGGAAGGCAAATAATTGCCCTGGACACACAGTTCCTGCCCTGGTGCTGAGCCAGGCCCTCACGCAGGGCAGGGCGCAGCAAGCCTTGGTGCCTCTGGTGATGCTGCTCTCGGGCCTGGGAGGCCACGGAGCCGCAGGCGCTGTCAGTATCGGACAGCACCTCCGTGATGGGGCTGTGAGAGGATTAGAGACCGCTCCTGCCTTTGTTCTCTCTGTCTGAGTGGTTCTGCGTCTCTCCCTCCTGCTCTTCCTCCTCTTGTTTTCCGCTTTGCGTCACCTCATTTTAAATGTCATTTGTTCCTGGGGGCCCTCCCAGGCCACTCAGCAAAGAGCAGGTCAGTAACCTTTTCCTGTAAAGAAAAATTAAATCCTGTGGGCTTTGAGGGCCCTGTGACCATGAGGTGCCAACTTGGTTCTAGTCTGACAGCAGCTGTGGGAGATGTAAACAGACACGGCATTGAACTCAGGACCTTGCACTTGCCAGGCAGGTGCTTATGCCACTGAGCTGTCTCCCTGGCCCTGAATTTTTTTCAATCATTTAAAATTGTAGCTTGTGTAATGAGTCAACTCACATTTTAAATTATAAATGTAAATCTTGTGTTTTCTGTTGTGTAAAAATGTATACTCACCACTGTTCTAAGTTGTTTAGTAAATAGTGGACCTCAAAAGGAAACTAAGGGGCTGGTGAGATGGCTCAGTGGTCTAAAGCACCTACTTAGAACAAGCT